CCCCTTGGATAGCTATGTTGTGGTCCCTCCCCCCAGGCCCCTTGGATAGCTATGTTGTGATCCCTCCCCCCAGGCCCCTTGGATAGGTATGTTGCGGTCCCTCCTTCCACCCTCCCCCCAGACCCTGGGTCTTTGGGTTCTCCCGGTTCTTTGAGGCTGTCAGCCTCCAGTGCGCTTCCTCTGGGCCTGGCACCGTGTGCAGGGCTTCCTGTCAGGGGCACAGGCTGCCTTCCTTTCCTGACGTACTGCGGTGCAGGGCGGGCTCTCTGTCCTTCCATCCGGTTCCAGGCCCTTGGCACCAGGGTAGAGCCTCACCAAGGCCAAGTTTGCTCTGTGTATGTAAAGTGCTCTCACCCCGTGCACGCGCATGCTTTGACGGGGTGTGTGGGGGACTTGGGAGGGCTGGCATGGGAAGTGCCAGGTGAGTCTGGTTCTGTACCCACTGTTGAGAGCTTTTCTCTCTGTGCAAGGCCCCTGGAGGGCCAGAGCTACCAGAACAGTGGCGGGGACGGCTTCCAGAACAGCGCCATAGACCAGAGCTTCTGGGAGACCTTTGGGAGCACCGAGCCCATGAAGACCAAGTCGCCCAGCAGCGAGAGCTGGACCTGTGCGGACGCCTCAGCAGGGCGGAGGAGCTCGGACAGCTGGGAGGTGTGGGGCTCGGGCTCTGCGTCCAACAACAAGAACAGCAACAGCGACGGCTGGGAGAGCTGGGAGCCCAGCGGGGAGGGCAGGGCCAAGGCCGGCAAGCCAGCCGCGCCGTCCACAGCTGCCGACGAGGGCTGGGACAACCAGAACTGGTAGGCCCCCTCTGCCCGGCCCAGCCATTGGGGCGACTGGTCTGTTTGCACTTTGCCCTTGTTCCTCTTCCCATTAATCCAAAAGCAGCGACCTCGGTGAGAAGACGGGAGGACTCAGTGTGCGGCGCTGCCCCAGGGCCCCGCGGAGCGCGCCACCCGCCGTGCTGTCTGCGTCTGCGTCTGCGAGAGCAGGCTGCTGTGGGGCCACTCCGCCACAGGAGTGCTGTCAGCAAGGCCCGACGTCACCTGCGCAGTTGACATGGAACACGAAGGGTTTGCTCTGGTTTTTCTGTGTGAAGAAACCTGGAATCTTACAAGAAACACCAAAAGCAATACTGGAGCTCGTACTGCCACCCGACGCCCCTCCCAGTCCACGTCTCCTTGTGGCCTGTGCTGTGAATCGCCCACCATGATGACCCTCCTGCATCGCCGGAGCTGCCGTCCAGCCCCTGGTTCCACAGGATGCCCCCCTTCCCCCCCCCC